TTATTATTATTATATATCCTAGAAATGGGCAGATTCATGGCCATATACATTATCTTATCCTAGAAATAGAGAAGATCATCGCCTTATACCACATATAAAACCCAGTCGGCCTCGCTTTATAGTGAGTCTTTTTCTTATGTATGAAATATCTTGGCGTATTTTTTTTCATTTAATTTCGATTAAAAAATGATATATGGGCGATTGTCTTATATAAATTAAGAATATTATCTAATATACCCGGAACAGGGAAAATCATCTCCCTATACCACATATGGAACCCAATCGGCCTCGCTTGCTAATGTTGGAAAGATTTTGAAGTATTTTTCAATTAACTTCCATTAAAAAAATAAATAACAATAAAAGTCAGTTTATTATATAAATTAAGAATATTTTCATATACATGTAAAAAAAAAATAAATAAATGACAATAAAAGTCAGTTTATTATATAAATTAAGAATATTTTCATATACATGTATATCCTAAAAAATAAATAACAATAAAAGTCAGTTTATTATATAAATTAAGAATATTTTCATATACATGTATATCCTAGAAATAGGGAAATTCTTCGCCCTATACCACGCATAAAACCCAGTTGACCTCGCTTTATAGTGGATCTTTTTCTTATGTATGAAAGATTTGGGCCATTTGTTTTCAATTACTTTCCATGAAAAAGTTATTTGAGTGATTTTCTTATATAAATTAAGAATATTATCTTATATACCTAATTGAAATTATCCGATACAAAGTAATTTTTATTCACACCACGGTTCAATTAACAATTAACGCTATAGACTAATCAATGCTTATTCCTAGTTTATCGTATAAAATACGTAAATTAAAAGTTAATATAGAATGAAATCAAATATGGCACGGGAATTCAATCCACTAAGTTCGTTTTCAAAAACTTAAACCTTATTTTAATTCAGTCGTGTGACGAAGATAACGGAACTGGCGGTTTCGTTGATGATCTACAAACTAAACTTGATTACCCAATCAACAATTTTAATCCCCCGAACTGTCAGGTGCTAATTAATTTATTCTTAAGTGTTGAGATGAACAGTTATAATAAACTGTATGGAGAAAGTGTAATATACATGTGTAAAGTTGTAAATAATAAACAAAACATAGGTTACTAATGTATGAAACTTAATGGACCATTCTCGTTTTGATTTGTTATTTTATAAATATTAGAGCCTCGTGATTGTAAATTATATTCTAGAGGAAATGTGAATATGCCACATGCGTATGATAGAGAGTTGTGTATGTATGTCCAAATAACTAATAACGCAAATGTCGAACTCAATTTATGATTATTACTTGAAACCCTTTCGTTTCGTAAAAGCTGACATAAGACATAATTATTTATATTGGCTTCATTGATGTTCATATTCCACACCCATTTTGTTCTTTTAATCGAAAGCCTATTACGGTAGGTGTATTGTGGGCTGATTAGAATTTATTTTGACCAATAGGACACGGAAATGCCTCTGTTATGACATTTAAAGGACAAATATTAAAAAGGATTTAAAATTAAAATTTGGTCACTGTGAAGTCACTGGCGTCTGGGAAGATTAAGAGTGTTTTTGATAATTGGCAAAATCGTTATTCGGGCAAGTCTATTTTTGCGGACTTGTACGTGACAAGGAGTAGGGTCGCCTATCTAACCTCGTGGGTTTTCTCCGGGTCCTCCTTTTACCCCCCACTGCCAAAAACCCCTATGCGCAAGCGAATTATTGAAATAAAATTTAACCATATGTTAGTCCCGAAAAGACCTAGTTTGTTTCGAGTGGACGTCAAACCCCGATATTTGCGTGATTTCTGATATAAATTAAGAATATTTTAAACTTATATATCCTATAAATATAGAACATCATTGCCTTATACCACATATAGAACCCAAACGGCCTCGCTTTATAGTGAATCTTTTTCTTAAGTTTGAAAGGTTTTGTGTATTTTTAAATTAATTTCCATTAAACAAAAAGATATTAGGGTGATTTCATTATATAAATTAGGGATATCATCCTATATATCCTATATATAAAGAAAATGGCTGCCTTATACCACATATAGAACCCAATCGGCCTTGCTTTATAGTGAGTCTTTTTCTTATGATTAAATTATATTGGATTTTATTTGTTCAATTAAACCGATATGTGAGTGATTTCTTATATAAATTAAGAATATTATCCTATATATCCAAGAAATTGAGAAAATCATTGCCTTATACCACATATATTAATTTCCATAAAAAAACATATTTGCAGTGATTTTATTATATAAATTAAGAATATTACCCTATATATCCTAGAAATAGAGCAAATCGTTGCCTTATACCACACATTGAACACAATCGGCCTCCCTTTATAGTGAATCTTTTTCTTAAGTTTGGAAGATTTTGGTGTATTTTTTAAATTAATTTTCATTTAAAAAAACGATATTTGAGTGATTTATTATACAAATTAAGAATACGGTCCTAAATATTATAAATATTTTCAATTAATTTCCATGAAAAAAATAACAATAGAGTCTGTTTATTATATAAATTAAGAATACTATTTTTTATGTATCCTAGAAAAAGGGAAATTCATGGCCCTATACCACATATGAAACCCAATCAATCGGGCTCGCTTTATAGTGAGTCTTTTTCTTATGTATGAAAGGTCTTGGCGTATTTTTTGTCAATTAATTTACATAGAACAATGATATTTGAGTGATTTTCTTATAAAAGTTAAGAATATTATCTTATATATCCTAGAAATAGAGAAATTCAGCATCCTATACCACATACAGAATCAATCGGCCTCGCTTTAAAGTGAGTCATTTTCTTATGATGGGTTATATGACACGACAAAACGTGTTGTGGAATTAACTTCAAAATTTTCAACAAACTTATTAAATTTTCATCAGATTGAAATACTTCTGTAGATATATTAGGTGATATTGGAAATCGTCCTGCCTCAGAGAAAGATCCAACGGTAGTATTCTCAACTTCAGGGAAAATAAGTTTTATGTTCATCATTAGGCCTAACAATAAATGCCCCCTTGCAACCTCAACCTTCAAAAAAGTGGGAAGGGCCTAAACAACAAAAGGGCGGGGCTTAAATTATACTCGCTTTATAGAATCTATCAAAATCGTCCCGGTTTCATAATATCTAACACTTACCCTATTGTTTGGTATTCGTCTCTATGATTTGTTTATGTAGTTAAATGATGTTGTATCAACAGTCTTGTATAATCTAGTCTATGACACTAATGTTGTATCAACACAGTCTTGTATAATCTAGTCTATGATACTAATGCTTTTGTTAAATAATGTTATATCAACAATGTCTTAAATAATCTAGTCTATTATACTGTATCAGCACTGCAATACCTAGTCGCAACATTTTGTTTATCGTGATACCAATGGGTATCTCTCAAAGTTAGGGAGGAGATTGACCCTCCCACATTTGGGTTACGTAGTCATGATTACATATTACAGCTGCCAACTAGGGTTTGGGTTACGGTTATAGTCATGGCGTGGTATTCTATTTTCCAGCCTAATATATTAGTATGCATATCCTGCGAGCCTATGATAAGCCACGCCCATTGTCCGTATAATTAGGGCTAGGTTCATTATATTAATCATTGATAATCTAGAATTATAACAGGGAAGAAAATTAAATAGTAACGTCGCCATTAAATTGTTGAAATAAAAGATTCTACAAAGAGGATTATTATCATATTGAAGCTTGTGTCAGTAAAGACTCTACAGAGAGAATTATTGCCATATTGAAGTTTGTGTCCACTAAGTAAGTGACAAGTAATTTTAATACAACTGAACATATCTAATTTACATGATTATGTGTGAATACGTCATTACATGTAACAACTCAGACAATAACATAGAAATATGTGGGAAAATTGTAACGTTTGTAAAATACCAACCAACATGTCCGGTTAGTTTACAGTGATTAACTTTCTATTAGCCTTAACGACCGATTAATCAAATTTCCAAAACCGGGTCGCTTTAAAACGGATTGTGACTGCTATGTTGGAGGAAATGGAGATTTACTAGAAAAGGACAAATAAACGAACAATAGATACTTGCCACATGTCATTTACAACGGCAAAACGCTTTACCCCCAAAAATCGGCTAGCATGTGTGTCCAGAATAAGCTTTGTGTTTATTGCCATTTGGTATATAAAATGCACCAAATCAGTTTTAGCAACTTATGGGTTAACTATTTACACAAGTAAAATTCGGCAAACCATTTTTTAAACTATGTCACATTGCAATTACCGACCCGGTTTTAAAATAATGATAAAATGCGAAAAACGTATTGCCCCCAGGATAAATGCAGCTTCTTCTTGTATATTGCCTTTTGGTTTAAAGACTGCGTCTAATATGTTATCCAGTCCCATCTAAAACATTTGCAGCCCTTGGTGATTTTTTTAGACGCTATAAAGGCCTGCAACAACTATGTGTACTATCTCATATCGGAACAACAACGAAAATACCTCCACGTAAAATCGACTCTGGATTTTATAATCGAATACTGTACAGCGTTTACAAATTTCAGTGACAGAGGCAATAACTTTTAAAATCGATCGAACACTTTTCAATTCGATCATGTATTGCAAAGGGGTTAACGCCCACTGGACACAAATCAGGACAGACAAGAATGACACTGACAAAAATATACTTTCAATTGAATTGGGGGCGTTTAACAACGTGGGCGTTTAAAAACTTCAAGAATTGGGATGTGGGCGTTTAATTACTTCAAAATTGTGGGTAAAACAGCCCTTTCATATATCCTATAATGTTAAATCAGCTAGTATATATCACCTACATGTATATAATGTATATTATATGTATACTATAATGTTATATCAGGTAGTATTCATCACCTATATGTATACCATAATGTTATATCACCTACATGTATACTGTAATGTCATATCAACAAATGGTGTATAGTGTACAATAATTCCCGAGGAATCTACGATTTATGCATGTTGAGCTGTCGTGTATTCCCAGAAATCCTCACTTGTATCAAACTTCTCTTTTTTTCCGAGTAAACGGACCTTTCTCCGAAATTAACAAAAACGCCTTCAACCCGTAATTATGCATGTTGACTTATACTGAAGTATTCATTTCCGCTCACACGACCTTTTCATCAACATTAACACAAGCATCTACAATTCATCTTTATGCTCGTTGAGCTATCGGGTATTCCCTAGAAGTTCAGCCCATTAGATAGCAGGTCACGTATAATATCGGTGAATCAGATTGTTGTGGTAGTGTACATGCACATTAAGTTATTGGGTATTCCTAGAAATTCTGCTCATTAGCAAGCTGGGTGTTTGAGGTGAATAGCTCACAGCTAACTGTAACTGTATTGTGGATATTAAGTTTATAGACATTAAGAAATGAAAATGTTAAATTCAAATTGTGCTGAATTGTTATCCGTTTAATGTCATAGGCGTTTTTGTGAACCGATTAGATTAGACCGATTAGCTATTATACGCATTTGTGAACCAAGTTGATTATGCTAATCGTTACATTTGTGAGACGATTTAACTCAACTGATTAGGCAAATCGACCTAATCGTCCCAGGAGGTGTTTAGGCGATTAGATTTGACGTTTTCAAAATGGCGGAATGTTCGACATCGTAAGTAATTTTTTTAATGCTTATTGTTGTTTTTCTCCATAAAAAATGTTTTTTTAAAACACATTTGATGTGTTTAAAGTAGCTAAGTCTCTAACTCAATATCATCCAAAATCTTCAACATTGAAAACACGATTTATTTGTCAAATTATATCAACATTCATGTTGTGATCTTAACGGGAAAAGATGGGCTTTTGATATCCAATATTTAAGACAAAATAAACATTTTACCATTGGTACACCAATCGTGTACCATAATGCGCTTCAGCCCCAGTTGTATCAAGAGACTCGAGGGACGAGGCTAGACACATTGCACCAAATCAAACGGCGTATGTAAACTGGAATAACCAGACGTGACGCTAGAAATTTGCACTCGCTTGAGACTGCTGGCTTATTTCGCCGAACATAACGGATTTGAAATTGGAGTAAAAACGGAAACCATTGAATGTAAATCAGTTTATATACATTCATATTACAGTATTATATGCATTGCGACCCACTTTTGTCAATTTCTAGGTCCCAAATGTTAGCGATTTAGCTCCTTTAATGTTAACTTTATAGTCTACAAGAATGTTAGATCACCTCTGGCTCTAAGCAATTTTAGGCCCTCTGGGTGCCAGCAGTGTCACTGTAATCTGTAGGTAACTTGGACTACACGTGAAACACACGCCCCCCTCGTCATGTTAGCAGAGACAATATTTTTTCTGATCGGTGTCCGTGATGGCAGCCATCTTACCAAATGGTAATTATCAAATTTCACATTTGTGGACCATAGCTAATCAAATCGAAATCATACCAAATCGTACTAGCAAATCAAAACCTAATCTAATCGACTCACAAAAACGCCTCATATTTACTGTGCGCTATGAGAATATCAATTGCTTAAAGATACATTATGGGAGATTCCAAAACGAGTTGGCTGTTCTCACTATAATAGTTAAAAACTAGATAATGTAAAGGCAATTTGCTGTAAATTTCATTCAAATTGATCCACTATGAACCGAGAACTAAGCTGTTGAAATTTCCGGCCTTGATCATCGTTACTAGTCACTAGTCAGTACTATAAACAGCATAGTCTCGATTATCCATTTAATCGTTAAATCGTGAAGGAAGGTAATGCAGTAAATCGGCTCATAATCAACTAAAGATCGCAGAGTTGATTATGGCCCGGATAGGTTAATTAATGTCTAATTAATAATTTTTCCGTGTTGTCTGGGCAATCACCCCCTCCCCTCCCCATCTCCATGTCCATATTATGCGAAAATTTTAAAACAAACTTTAGAAGTTTGTTGCCTGGGCATCGGTTATTTAAATGAATTTGAGCGACCTTATAACGGTGTGACAGTACAGCTTAACACTAAAAATTCACTAAATGTATTTACTATGTGTCCGGGTAAGATAAGATAAAGAGAAGATTTTATTGTATCATTGCATCCACCAAGGACAGCATACACAGTTTAAACAATAGTTGATCATACAATTATAACATAACATCTGGGCTGATCATTTATGGATGTACAATGTGATATAATAAGTCTATAGATGGTCGGTATATGTTCACGTCAAATTTCTCGACCCAATAGAGAGAGTGAAATGGGCTTTAACGTCCACTCGACACAAACTAGGTCATTTTGGGACTAACATATGGTTTAATTTTATTTCAATAATTCGCTTGCGCGTAGGGGTCTTTAGCAGTGGGAGGAAACCGGAGGACCCGGAGAAAACCCACGAGATTGGACAGGCAACCCTACTCCTTGTCACGTACAACCGGGGATTCGAAACCATGCCAGTTGACTCAATGACAGGCTTTATGATAGAGCGCGCGCGTGCTAACCATTCGCCCCCCCCCCCCAATAGAGGGCTGGTGAATGTGTGTGTGTGTGTGTGTGTGTGTGTATGTGTTGGGGGGAGGGCTACTTAAAAAGGAAAATGTGCATTTCTTTCTTTACTTAAACGGACACCAAATAAGATTAGGAAATGAAATGAAATAAAATGAAATGAAATGAAATGAAATGGGGTTTAACGTCCTACCGTTCTGCTCCGATTGGGTTAATGAAGACGGGCATACGCCTTAATGCGATCAACTTTAGAAATATTTGCTTTGGTTGTGATTATTTAGATTTGTTCAAGTTTGGTGAGGAAGCCCTTTTCACCTGAAGCAATTGATGTATTGTAAAGCAAATTTATATTGTATGGCTTAAAAAAATATAATAATTGTAATAATATGACCATAGATTTTTTTTTTGGGGGGGGGGGGGGAATGACCGAATGGTTAGCACGTGCGCGTTAAATCATAAGGTCTGCCATTGAGTCAACTGGCGTGGTTTCGATTCCTCGGTTGTGCGTAACAAGGAGTAGGGTCACCTGTCCAACCTCGTGGGTTTTCTCCGGGTCCTCCGGTTTCCCCCCACTGCTAAAAGCCCCTTCGCGCAAGCGAATTATTGAAATAAAATTAAAACATATGTTAGTCCCGAAATGACCCCCCCCCCTCTCTCTCTCTCTCTCTCTCTCTCTCGAGTTCCATCTTATACAATGTTTGGCACTGCAAGTATTCTTTCAGTGTAGTCTCTGTTTCTTTTTAATGTTAATAAAAAAAAATGGCTTTGAAATAAAATGAAAAAGTTGGATGTGTTCAAAAATATTCTACTGTATTCCATTCATATCCTGTTGACTGAGAGACGGTTAAGTAATATATGCACTGTATTATATTTATAACTAATGTAGAGGTCATGGCGTTTTACTTGGTCGATCGTCGATTTTGAATGTAACCTATATAATATGAACATATTGTGCAGGCTTTATAACGTTATGACATCTCTGCATTTTATTATAGAAGGCCATTAGCAAGCAGGTTGTTTGAATGAATAGCTCACAGTTATATTGGTATACATCCATCTTTTAAAATCCAAGCCGATCGTAAGTGTATTTTTCTATTATTAATTTGACAATGTTAAATATTTAGTTGATGACATATTCACTTGAACATTTAAAAGGGACTTAATTTAAAAGATAAAAGGAGAATTTCTGAATGTCAGTTCTAATGGGGTCATTTATGAGAATTTCTGAATGTTAGCTCTAATGGGGTCATTGATGATAATTTCTGAATGTTAGTTCTAATGGGGTTATTTACATGTAGAGTAGATGAAATGATTTTGCTGCCACGCCCAAAGTTCACTTGGCTAATAAGAAACTTTTGTTGTGATTCTCCATTTTTGGGAACATCATAAACTTAATGAGTGAATTTGAACAGGAAATTTACGTAACTGTGTCTTAATGTTGATGCGGTTCTAGTTTTACCCTCTGGGAAATACATCCACCTACAATTCAAGCCAGTCGTAAGTATATTATAACATTTAACTACATTCATAATGTTATAGATATAGTTCATAGCGACCCTTGACATGCCCGACCCCCAGGGGCAGAGCCACGCTCATTTCTTGTATTTGTTTGTTTGTCGTCTACAGACTGCATTTCTTAGCGTATCATCTCGAAACTTTGTATATTTATTCTTTGTACCCTTAGCAACATCTCTATTGTTTGTGGTGCATGCCACGCTCATTCTTGTTTTGTGTGTCTGTGTGTTACTTGCAGGTCACAATTCTTAATCGATCGTCTTGAAAACTTGTCATACTTGGAACATTTATTCTTTATACCGTAAAGACAGCAACTATTTATTTTGGTGCATGCCCCGACACCCTGGGGCGGTGTCACACCCACTTTTTTGTTAATATTTTTTTCTGTAAATAGGAATGTGGACGTATATTGCAGCGTTAGCGATGCTGGTGTTTTTAGCCCCGTTGGAGAAGAACAGTAGGCTTTTAAATCCTATTTCATTTCAGTTTATAGCGAAGTAACTTTACACAGTACTTGAAACATTGTCCAAATCTATCAAAGTTCAAATCCTCAATGAACACGGTTTCAACGCTATGTATTTCTTGAATTGTGGAGAACTGAGTCATTTCCATGTACTTATCTTTGTACTTATCTCCCTTTATATGAAAACCAAAAATCGCCATACTAATAATCCCTCGGGCTGGAATTTACGTTGTGAGGGTTTGTGTTGAACTGTAGGTAAGGACATCTTGACAAAGCAATCGAGTAACCCGAATTAAAAAAGAGAGAAATGGGTTTTAACGTCCACTTGACATAAATTAGGTCATTTCGGGACTAACATATGGTTCAGTTTTATTTCAATAATTCGCTAGGGTTCTTTAACAGTTGGGGGAAACCGGAGGACCCGGAGAAAAGGTAGAAGGTAGGACAGGCGACCCTACAAGCGGGAAATCGAAACCACAACTCAATAACAAAACTTATGATGCAACGCGCACGAGATAACCATTCCTCCAGTAGAAGGAAACCTTATGATGCAACGCGTTAATCATTCGTCCCCCCCCCCAAAGAACCAATGCATCTTTCCTTCAACCAAACAAACTTTATTATTGTTCTTTATGTTTTATCTGAGAGCTTTCCAGTTTTAGAATGGATGAGACCAATGTACCACGAGATGACAAACCGGCTAAAAGAGAAAGTTCAAACGGGAGTGATGATGAAATGGAACACCTGATACCAACTAAAATAGGTAAATTGATAACTTTCAAATTAAATTCTCTACTTGTAACGATTGCTATTCTGTATTACTGTTGTATTATGGAAATAGTAACTTGTAACGATTGTTATACTGTATTACTGTTATATTATGAAACTATTGCATTATTAAAACTATATTTGTCCTTGGTCTGTCAACTTTATACAACAGTTTAGTCAACTATCATTCAGATCCAATGTATAGGTGGGGTATATTTGACTTATTATATTTTTATTGTTTTCTAGTAAAATTATCTGATGAAAGTGAAAGTGGGAATATCGAACCAAAACATGAACTCCAGAAGATACAGGAAAGGTAAATATCTATTATAACGTTTATAATGTACAGGTTGGATAACTATTATTATTATTATTATTATTCATAAACTGGGGGATTGGATGGCTGAATGGTTAGCACGTGCGCGCTGTATCATAAGGTCTGTCATTGAGTCAACTAGTGTGGTTTCAATTCCCCGGTTGTACGTGGTCGCCTGTCCAACCTCGTGGGTTTTTCTCCGGTTCCTCCGGTTTCCTGCCATTGCTAAAGACCCCTTCGCGCAAGCGAATTATTGAAATAAGGATGAATCATGTTAGTTTGCTTTGAGTGGACGTAAAACCTCATATCTCTCTCTCTTCTCTCTCTCTCTCTCTCTCTCTCTCTCTTTATATATATATATATATATATATATATATATATATATATATATATATAAATAAACTATCATTGCTATGAATAAATTAAAATGATGTACTACCGTTGAAAAGCCTCTAAGAATAAGTGAGTTTTCAGATTTGTCTTAGATAACGCCACGATGAACTGGTGCTAATATTTTGGGGTAGTATTTCAAATGGCTAATACCACGTGTTGTTCTTTGTTTTATGAGTCAACATGGCTAATACCACATACATGTAGTTTGTTCCACTGAAGAGGGACATATATGGTGGGGGGGGGGGCAGAGTTTATTTAAGTATCTATACGTGTATGTTAGAACGTGTATATGAACTTAAAGGATCAGTCTCGGTTATATTTTGGAGAATAAAACTGCTTGATTTAGTGTTAAAGGCTCTTAAAATCCTCTACCTTAGGCTCGCGCAACTAACTTAATATACGTGATACATGTTCAAACAACTTAAACCCATCAGTCTTCATCTGGAAATGGAGACCAGTGTCCCATGTCGTATTATGTGGTGTCTGGATGAAACCAGTTTAGTTTGCTAATTTATCATTTGTACTTGATAACGATAAGAGAATAATTGTCGTAACGTCGTGCTATATGTGTATAAACCAGTGATTGTATTCCATATAAATTGTGTTGTGGTTTTCAGACTTTTATTTCATGAACTTTCTGTAGGTAAAATATATCTTTCGTTATCAAGTACAGCACGTGCGACATGCACTGTATAAATCTCTAAAGGAAAGACAATAGGTTATCAGGTCACCAAACGAAAAAAATTGAACCGAAATCTTATAATGGTTACGTGTCCGGATAAGCGGTTTTGACGTTCACGTCCAAACGACTCAATATTTTGAACTGAAATTTTGAGAGATGTTAAATACACCATTCCTCTATAGGCCTATTTCGGCGCCTAAATTTCATACGTAGGCCTACACGGACTAATATATTTCTGAGATTCTGTTAAAATCGACATGGTCCCTTTACCTCTAAAGGAGATAGGTAACCAATGAAGATTATACAATATGGGACGAATTATCACCCTACCTTCAGAATTTTACACTTTTTGCACTTTATAAATTATTGCGTTAGAACAAAGTTTGACTAATTTGACGTAGTAACAGATACAGGTGAATGACTATTATAACAATTAAAAGATAAGACTGTTTGGATTAACTACCCTTTTAAAAAAGAAATAACATGCTTAAGTGTAAATAAATCTTTGACATAATCATCAATATTTTCATGTTTTACAGATTATCTCAAGCTGTTGATGACGTCAACATTGATCTAACGGAGACCATATTAAAAGAACTACAGCCAGATGACGTCAGAAGACTACAAGACGTCATTATAAGTTTAACCTGTCAATCATTAGAGAGAAGATATTTATCACTTGTTAAGTGTTTATTTAATAATATTATAATATTACAATCTGATGGTCAACTTGATATTAATTTAAATATACAGTTAATGATATGTGCTATAAAATCAGATTTTGTTGAAGGTATTCAGTATCTCTATAGTAAGAAATTATATTTACAGGTTGAACATGACAATAAAGTATGGAATGCTTTGTTAGAATCTGTTAAGTATAACAGTTTCAATATTACTAAATATCTTTTAACAATTTCTGATTTAAATCTCAATCTAGACTCTCATAAAACTATATTAATGTTTGCTAAATCTGGTAAAATGTTGTCAATTCTTTTAAGTAATGATCAAATCAAGAACATGATTAATTATAAATCTAAATCTGGTCACCATGTGTTAGATCACTGTATAGAAAACACTGATGATGTGGACGAATGTTTCAACTGTATTAACATTGTAACAGAAGCTGGAGCTGAATTCGACAAGTTCAATCAAACTAAATCATTACAATATGTCATTATTAAGTATGGTGATAAACATAAGTGTTTAGGTATTATATCATTATTACTACAACACGGTGCTGACGTTAATCAGGCTGACGGGTATCTCACACCTTTAACATTGGCTATACGATACCTTGGTGATAAAGATACATGTTTAGGTATTATATCATTATTACTACAACATGGTGCTGATGTTAATCAGGTTAACGGGTATTTCACACCTTTAACATGTGCTATACGGTACCATGGTGATAAAGATACCTGTTTAGGTATTATATCATTATTACTACAACATGGTGCTGATGTTAATCAGATTGAAAAGCTGTACTCACCTTTAACATGTGCTATACGACACCATGGTGATACAGATACATGTTTAGGTATTATATCATTATTAATACAACATGGTGCTGATGTTAATCAGATTGACGAGATACACTCACCTTTAATATGTGCTATACGGTACCATGGTGATAAAGATATCTGTTTAGGTATTATATCATTATTACTACAACATGGTGCTGATGTTAATCAGGTTGACGGGTATCTCACACCTTTAACATGTGCTATATGGTTACATGGTGATAAAGATACATGTTTAGGTATTATATCATTATTACTACAACATGGTGCTGATGTTAATCAGCTTGACAAGATGCACTCACCTTTAACATGTGCTATAGAATACCATGGTGATAAAGATTCCTGTTTAGGTATTATATCATTATTACTACAACATGGTGCTGATGTTAATCAGGTTGACAAGATAGACTCACCTTTAACATGTGCTATAGTACACCATGGTGATAAAGATACATGTTTAGGTATTATATCATTATTACTACAACATGGTGCTGATGTTAATCAGATTGAAAAGCTGTACTCACCTTTAACATGTGCTATAGAATACCATGGTGATAAAGATTCCTGTTTAGGTATTATATCATTATTACTACAACATGGTGCTGATGTTAATCAGATTGAAAAGCTGTACTCACCTTTAACAAGTGCTATAGAATACCATAGTGATAAAGATACCTGTTTAGGTATTATATCATTATTACTACAACATGGTGCTGATGTTAATCAGCTTGACGAGATGCACTCACCTTTAATATGTGCTATACGGTACCATGGTGATAAAGATACGTGGTTAGGTATTATATCATTATTACTACAACATGGTGCTGATGTTAATCAGATTGACAGGTATAATAACTCACCTTTAACATGTGCTATACGGTACTATGGTGATAAAGATACCTGTTTAGGTATTATATCATTATTAATACAACATGGTGCTGATGTTAATCAGGTTGACGGGTATCGCACACCTTTAACATGTGCTATAGAACACCATAGTGATAAAGATACCTGTTTAGGTATTATATCATTATTACTACAACATGGTGCTGATGTTAATCAGATTGACAAGATGTACTCACCTTTAACATGTGCTATACGGTACCATGGTGATAAAGATACGTGGTTAGGTATTATATCATTATTACTACAAAAAGGGGCTGATCCTACCCAGAGTGTCAAAACAACAACGCCTTTAATGTATGCCGCCCAATACGCCCACTATATAGATATTGTTAAATTAGTGCTTGTGGATATTGTTAATGTAAATAGAACTAATGATCGGGGTTTATCAGCTTGTAGACATTGTTTTGTAAAAACGATGGAACTTAAATATAATAGGACCTGGGTGAGTAAAAGGGATTTTAAAACTACTCTGGCTATCTTTAAACTTTTAGTCGAGTCTGGTGCTAATTTGGTTGCTAATGGTCCCGAACTACTGTACGATATTATGAAATTCGGTCAATTAAATATTTTTGAGTATTATATAGGATTAAAGCCATTAGTGGATAGTTTTACTGAAACAACCAATCGAAACATTTTTCATCTTTTGGCTCAAGTGAAATATGAATTTACACCAGAGAAGTTTAATTGGTTGTTTAATTATAATATTGATATAAATCATAAAGATTCTCTAACTAACACTCCTCTTATTATTGGAGCTTTCTTATTGAACCATAAATACCTGGACTTGATAACAAAATACAGTCCTACACGTGATGTTAATATACCAAACAATAAAGGTCATACAGCCATACACAGTGCTGTAATCGGGTGCCTATTATCTAAGTCTAGACTGAACCAAACTGGAAATTTGATGGACGATTCACTGAGTGAACACTATAAAACTTTTCAAGAATGTGTCATACTTTTACTTGATGCTGGTGGAAATATTAATAGTCAGGACAATAATGGAAATACTGCTTTGATCTTAGCGGCCAAGAAAAATGATAAATTTATTGTACGTTTACTACTTGAATTGGGCTCAAATATCAGTATTTTAGAAAACAAATATGACACATCTGCTTTACAATATCTAGACCTTGATTATAGTAGACATTTTGTGAAAATGTTTTTGATGAGAGGTGGCCATAAACTTCTGAATTTACCAGGACCAGATGGCAATACACTGATACAGCGAGCTTTACTTTTCCCTACATGTTTTGAACCAGAGAAAACTGTTGGTGTAATAAGATATTTAGTTGCCGAAAACTGCTGCCTTCAGCATCTAACATCTGTATCTACTGAAACCAATTTCTACAATGACGATGTTCATTTAGATGATTTTGACAGTAAAGAGAGAAATAAACTTAGACAACTACTTTATCGAAGTGGGGCTCCAGAAGAAGAGATTGTTTCCACTGTTAATTTCAAAATGGAGGATGCGCGAGATAGAGGAGATGAGATGTTTTACTCGGAAAACAGGGAGAAATTCAAGTTTGTATGTTTTAACTTATCTCTTGAAGGAAAGTGTATAAGACTCATCAGGCAGAAATTGGGACTAGAAATAAAGAAGAAAGTTGAACAACTACAGATACCTAAACCTCTGGTGAAGAAGATCTTACTGGTTGATCTTCTTCCTAAAAAATACTTTATCCGTTATTCCATGGATGATTATTATGATGAGGATAATACGAGGGAAGATACCGATGATGATGATGATGATGATGATGGTGATGATGATGATTTCCGGGATAGCGATAATGATTTTGACGGCTACGATTACCAAGTTTATCTAGGTGGTGATGACATACCTGATGATGTTATAGATGAGGTCGATGTTAGTGCGGATGTTAGTGATGATATATCTGATGATGTTGTTATAGACGAGGATGATACGGGTACGGATTTTAGTGATAGTGATGACATGATGGATGTTGAAGGGTATGGATGTTATAGATGAGAAAGATACAGATATGGATATTAGTGATGGTGATGACAAGATGGATGTTGAAGGATGATTTTGTTATAGATGAGGATAATAAAGATATGGATGTTAGTGATGGGGATGGATGTTGAAGGATGGTGTTGTTGTAGATTAGGATGATAAAGAACAGATGTTAGTAGTGGTCAGGACAAGATGGATGATTGGATGATGATAATGATGATGAAGAGGTGAATGTTGATGGGTGACCATGTCGCGGGTATAACACAAATAGTGATGATATCCATATATAGTCCTACTTAATCAGAATGGATAACATTTTTACAGAGTCAAGATGGAAAACGTCCTACATTTCTACACCGATTGCGTTAATAAATACGGGGGGACATTGTGATGTACGTCTTACAGACGAAGAAATTGATCTCGAAAGGGCATTGGATGATGATAATGATGATGATGATATACTCCTACGATCTGGACCACCATGTTATTATTATTAATGGTTTATCACCACCATGCTATTATTAATGGTTTATCAACACAATGTTATTATAAATGGTTTATCATCACCCCACCATATTATTATTAATGGTTTATCACCATCATGTAATTATTAATGGCGTATCACTACCATGTTATTATTAATGGTTTATCACCACCGTGTTATTATTAATAGTTTATCAGCACCGTGTTATTATTAATGATTTATCCCCACCATGTTATTATTAATGGCTATTCAGCACCATGTTATTATTAATGGTTTATCAGCACCGTGTTATTATTAATGGTCTATCACCACCATGTTATTATTAATGGTTTATCACCACCGTGTTATTATTAATGGTTTATCACCGCCATGTTATTATTAATGGTTTATCATCACCGTGTTATTATTAATGGTTCATCAGCACCATGTTATTATTAATGGTTTATCACCACCATGTTATTAGTAATGACTTGTCAGCACCATGTAGCACCATGTTATTATTAATGGTTTATCACCACCATGTTATTAGTAATGACTTGTCAGCACCATGTTATTATTAATGGTTTATCACCACCATGTTATTAGTAATGGTTTGTCAGCACCATGTTATTATTAATGGTTTATCACCATGTTATTATTAATGGTTTATCAGCACCATGTTATTATTAATAGTTTATCAGCACCGTGTTATTATTAATGGTTTATCACCACCATGTTATTATTAATAATTTATCACCACCATGTTATTATTAATTGTTTATCACCACCATGTTATTATTAATAGTTTGTCACCACCATGTTATTATTAATGGTTTATCACCACCATGGTATTATTAATAGTTTGTCAGCACCATGTTATCATTACTGGTTTATCAGCACCATGTTATTATTAATGGTTTATCACCACCGTGTTATTAATAATGGTTTATCACCACCATGTTATTATTAATGGTTTATCACCACCATGGTATTATTAATAGTTTATCACCTCCATGTTATTATTAATGGTCTATCACCACCATGTTATTATTAATGGTTTATCACCACCATGTTATTATTAATGGTTTATCAACCATGTTATTATTAATGGTTTATAAGCACCATGTTATTATTAATAGTTTATCACCACCATGTTATTATTAATGGTTTATCACCATCATGTTATTATTAATGGTTTATCAGCACCATGTAATTATTAATAGTTTATCTGCACCATTTTATTATTAATGATTTTTCAGCACCGTGTTATCACCATCATGTTATTATTAATGGTTTATCACCACAATGTTATTATTAATGGTTTATTGCCACCATGTTATTATTAATGGTTTATCACCACCATGTTATTATTAATAGTTTATCACCACCGTGTTATTATTAACGGTCTATCACCACCATGTTATTATTAATGGTTTATCACCACCGTGTTATTATTAATAGTATATCAGTACCGTGTTATTATTAATGGTCTATCACCACAATGTTATTATTAATGGTTTATTGCCACCATGTTATTATTAATGGCGTATCACTACCATGTTATTATTAATGGTTTATCACCACCGTGTTATTATTAATAGTTTATCAGCACCGTGTTATTATTAATGATTTATCCCCACCATGTTATTATTAATGGCTATTCAGCACCATGTTATTATTAATGGTTTATCAGCACCGTGTTATTATTAATGGTCTATCACCACCATGTTATTATTAATGGTTTATCACCACCGTGTTATTATTAATGGTTTATCACCGCCATGTTATTATTAATGGTTTATCATCACCGTGTTATTATTAATGGTTCATCAGCACCATGTTATTATTAATGGTTTATCACCACCATGTTATTAGTAATGACTTGTCAGCACCATGTAGCACCATGTTATTATTAATGGTTTATCACCACCATGTTATTAGTAATGACTTGTCAGCACCATGTTATTATTAATGGTTTATCACCACCATGTTATTAGTAATGGTTTGTCAGCACCATGTTATTATTAATGGTTTATCACCATGTTATTATTAATGGTTTATCAGCACCATGTTATTATTAATAGTTTATCAGCACCGTGTTATTATTAATGGTTTATCACCACCATGTTATTATTAATAATTTATCACCACCATGTTATTATTAATTGTTTATCACCACCATGTTATTATTAATAGTTTGTCACCACCATGTTATTATTAATGGTTTATCACCACCATGGTATTATTAATAGTTTGTCAGCACCATGTTATCATTACTGGTTTATCAGCACCATGTTATTATTAATGGTTTATCACCACCGTGTTATTAATAATGGTTTATCACCACCATGTTATTATTAATGGTTTATCACCACCATGGTATTATTAATAGTTTATCACCTCCATGTTATTATTAATGGTCTATCACCACCATTGTTATTATTAATGGTTTATCACCACCATGTTATTATTAATGGTTTATCAACACCATGTTATTATTAATGGTTTATCAGCACCATGTTATTATTAATGGTTTATCACCACCATGTTGTTATTAATGGATTATCAGCACCGTGTTATTATTAATGGTTTATCACCACTGTGTTATTATTAATGGTCTATCAGCACCATGTTATTATTAATAGTTTATCACCACCATGTTATTAATAATAGTTTATCACCACCATGTTAATTATTAATGGTTTATCAGCACCATGTTATTATTAATAGTTTATCACCACCATGTTATTATTAATGGTTTATAAGCACCATGTTATTATTAATAGTTTATCACCACCATGTTATTATTAATGGTTTATCACCATCATGTTATTATTAATGGTTAATCAGCACCATGTAATTATTAATAGTTTATCTGCACCATTTTATTATTAATGATTTTTCAGCACCGTGTTATCACCATCATGTTATTATTAATGGTTTATCACCACAATGTTATTATTAATGGTTTATTGCCACCATGTTATTATTAATGGTTTATCACCACCATGTTATTATTAATAGTTTATCACCACCGTGTTATTATTAACGGTCTATCACCACCATGTTATTATTAATGGTTTATCACCACCGTGTTATTATTAATAGTATATCAGTACCGTGTTATTATTAATGGTCTATCACCACAATGTTATTATTAATGGTTTATTGCCACCATGTTATTATTAATGGTTTATCACCACCATGTTATTATTAATAGTTTATCACCACCGTGTTATTATTAACGGTCTATCACCACCATGTTATTATTAATGGTTTATCACCACCGTGTTATTATTAATAGTTTATCACCACCGTGTTATTATAAATGGTTTATCACCACCAGGTTATTATTAATAGTTTATCAGCACCATGTTATTATTAATGGTTTATCACCACCATGTTATTATTAATAGTTTATCACCACATTATTATTATTAATGGTTTATCACCACCATGTTATTATATGTTCATGTTTAATGCTGTATAATAAATGCAGATATGATAAATTTTTGTGTTTTAAAAGGCAAATTATTTCACTCGTTCCCGTCTTCGACTAAAACTTCCCGGTATGACACGCTTGATCTCGCCCACATCAATTCCCAGTATAGCAATCTTTTTCTTGCCCACACCCAGTCAAATGTTCAGTACGCTTTATTTTGCCCACATCCAGTCCAGGTACAATACTCTTTTCTTCGCCCACATCAAAGTCCAGGTACAACATTCGTCATCTCGCCCTCATCCAGTTCCGTTTTGTCATGATTTATCTTGCGCACATACAGTCTAGTCCAAGTACAGCGCGCTTTATCCCGTCCACATCCAGTTCCAGAACGTCACATTTTATCACGCCCACATCCAGTTCCGGTACGCTTGCGCGTAGGGGTCTTTAGCAGTGGGAGGAAACCGGGGGAGCCAGAGAAAACCCACGAGGATGGACAGGCGACCCTACTCCTTGAGTCAATGACAGCCCTTGTGATACAGCACGCACGTGCTAACCATTCGGTCATCCAACCCACATCGAACGTTATATGGTTTGGAAATATTATTTCAAATATAAGCTAAATTAACAGTATTTGGGTTTTTTTTTTAAGTGCAGTATTTGGAGAATTTTATTTGATTTTTTTTTTTACAGTTGAGCCAATTAATATTTATATTCTGTTGGTCTATATTAGCATAAGGTACAATTACTGAGTTTAATACTAAGCGACGTTTCGACGAGAATACTGTCGTCTTTATCAAGCCCATCTCTCTCTCTCTCTCTCTCTCTCTCTCTCTCCAAATTTCAGCACTCCTTCCAACATTCAACCAGACGAAGAACGAATCGTTTATATCAACATAATGGTCCCGACCGGGTGCGCAATCACCAAATGAGCACGCAGTGAGCTAGGCTGAAGTGTAAAAATTCTAAATTCGTTGATGTTGATGCTAAACGTGTAAAGCGTCAATGAAGAAGACGTTTTTCGTCTAAATAATAGAAAAAAGATGAAATAGAATTAAAATTTACACTGAACAAATACAGGGGCGGATCTAGGAATTTTGAAAAGGGGGGGCGCCGCAAAATAAGGGCACTGACCGCGGAGACGGGGCACGCCGCTGAGAGGGGATTTTCTTTTTGGTGGGGGGGGGGAGTCCCCAAGAAAATAATCCGTCATTTCCTTGCATCTGTAGCCATTCCAAGAGCTATTTGGCTGATATTGTCGTCTAAGTAAACGTTCGGAAATCGTTGAAAAATAGCCTTAAAATCGAGCAAAAAAGCCAGTTGAACATGCGACTCGAAAATGATGGGAAAAAAGACGAATCTATTCCCTAGCCACTTCACTATTTAAGCCTTGTAACTTGTACTTTGTACTGTCCACACATGAAACAATGCTACATCAAGTTGCACTCATGCGCGTCGGTGAAGGACATGAGTGTATTCGCCGCCGATTCCACAAGATATCTGTCTATAGCCACTCTATAGGATTAGGGCACCGTCAGCTAAACAACAAGAATTCGTTTGAAAGTGAAAGCATTAATTTGACCAGACTGGTGTGTTTGAATCGATGGTTTGGGTCATTTGGGATCCCTGCAACGGGTTGGGAACGGACATATTTGGGTCTGAGAAAGGGCACTTTCAGCAGTAAAAAAATGCACTGTCGAAAATTAGGGGGAGGGGGCGCCCCTCGCCCCCATCCCCTTAAATCCGCCTCTGAAATAAAGAAGTTAGAAGTTACATGAATAGAAGTTAAAAATTACATGAACTGAAGTTAGAAATTAGACGATAGCATGTTAAAATTTTGAATCTAATATACCGCCATAGTTCTCAAGCGTTTACTGCGTTTAGTGTAAAATAACGCATGTTCAGTTACAAATAATACGTGCTGGAAAACGACACTACACGTAAAGTAAAACGTTCAAGACAAACCTGCGGACAAAACAATATCAAATGAAATGAGTGACTCCTCGGATACCCGTGAGCGTCCACTGCGCTGTAAACTTTAACGATGTATTATGTAAGAGCTAAATCTGTCTATTGGACTTGGAGATTTTAGTTTGCATAGGCGTACGAGCCAGGGGGTGGGGGGCAGGGTGGCAGGGCAGCTGCCCCCCTAACTTTCGGGCAATCTGACTTTTCAGGCAGACGGGTAAAGTGATAAAAAAAAAAATTTCATCTACACGGCAAAGACAAAGTGTCCGGAAACTAATAAAACACTAATTTTACGTGCTGGAATAGCAGGAAAACGCGTTTGCGGCCGTCAAATATTCCAAAATTTTCTTGGGGGTCCATACAAGATCAGCTCCGCTTCTTCACCTCTCGAAGAAGACCGGCGTCGCTGTCGGTAAACCCGAAATTTTTTCGGGCATTTCGGGTTATGCCCCCCGAAATTGTCATCGAGCTCTAATAAAACACTAATTTTACTTTTCTTTTAATTGAATACCACGAATTTGTACTGAGATGACTATGGATTAAAACATTTTGTCTTTGGAGCCACTTTTTTCGGTATCGATTATCATTTGTGAATGCAGCTGCAACAGTCTGATTGGATGGGTGGAATTCAGAGGGGGTTTTCGGTTACAAAACACTTTTGGAGTTTCTTACACGGGTTAGAATAGCAGAAAACGCATTTGTGGTGGTTAAATTTTCAGGCCCCCATATCCCGCGACAATTGATTGGTTGATTGGAATTTGGGTCAGCCAGGTAGGCTACATTGAACCACATTGAATTTGTTGTTCTCACAGACTGGAATTGCAGGAAATCGCGTTTGCGACAGTCAAATTTTCTCCCAACAGTCCCGTCTTCGTGGACTGTAAACGATTGATTGGAATTCGAGTCAGCCACCTTAATAAGGATATATTAGACCACTTTGAAGTTGCTTTGTTCACTGGCTGAAATAGCAGGAAAACGCAGGGGGGGGGGGTAGCCCCTGTCTGTAAACGCAATTGTTTTTCGGGCATTTCGTGTTCTGCCCCCCTAACTGTCATCAAGCCCGTACGCCTATGTTAGTTTGGCCTTAAATTTTATATAATTCATTAAAGCTGAACTCCGATTACAAAACTGCAGAAATAATTAAACAAAACAAAAAAGTTAACACCCTAAAAAAATCGCCATACTTGTTTTTAATTTGTAGAACAACAAACATGCGATTGCTTACGGCGTACAAAAACAGAGGCAGAAAACGCCCACATCCAGTTAGATAACAAATCTTATCTCACAACACTCCGTGTTTCGAGATAAGAAATGGTGCTATTAACTTCGACGTAGCACATGCGGGAGCGATTCGCACCCGGCATTTGTAAACAAAATTGACAATATTTTAAATCAAAACAACGATTGGTTATTGTTATTTATAATATTTCCGCCACACCCAACTACAATTAAGCATATAATCCTACCTGAAACGGGTACAAATCTCCTCTTTTTAAATCAAAGCGACAGTAGATTGCTTTTTCCGACATTTTAAATTTACGTCTGTAACACATAAAGGCGGGGCCTCGTGTGCAATAGCCAATCAAAGTACTAATCTGATCAGAGTTGCGCAGTAGTAATACGCCGTAATTATGAACGTTGTAGCACTTTAGCCCTTGAGACAATTTTGGGTCTTTATAAAATTGTCTCTTCAATTTTGTCTATAACGTCTAATCTCACGTACTTAATGAACGTGGGTATAGTTATTCATAAAAAACAGTGATATTTTGGTCAAATTATATTCATAATCAAAATAGTCATCAAATTCTGGCTGTTAATTGACCTATGGTTGATAGACCAAAAATAGGTAATGTTTCCTATCTTATTTGTGGGAAATAAAGACTTTTATTCCTTATATGGCGTGGAAATTAACGTCAAGGTTATCGAAGACCTGCAGAAATTAGGGGATATAAATTAGGGTGTAGAGGCGAGCTGGATTAGAGCTCACCCAGAAATTCCTACCAGCCATTATCATTGAGAACGAGGAACCTGCAAAGCCAGTACAACTTAGAAATAAAGTTGTGAAACTATTTTATGCTGTAGTCTTATTAAAGATCACCAGAAAGTAAACACAACAAGAAGTCTTATAGTATTACAACGTCCGAATCAATTTTGATAAAAAACAACACTTTATTTACTTTATTTTCAATATTTGCTGATAAATGAATGTTGTTTCAGTAGATTGGACTATGTATGTGTAATAAGTAGGACTATAAAATTAAGATATTTTCAGTTGGTAAAGAAATTGAGTTTGCCATTTGGAAGTAAAGGCATCCAATCGTAGCTAAAAACAAGCACATCAGTATATCTTAGCGTTTTTAGTTACGTTCTCGTAGCTAACATCCAGTGTATGCCTTGTCACAGCACAGTGTCTACATCCGGCTAGCTATTCAACTACCAATTATGCCCCGGTCAGACCGGGGTAGCGTCCTGCGGCGACCTTAGGGCGACCAGAAAATGGACAAAGTCGCCAGCAAACGGGAACACAACGCGAGAAAATGTCCCCAAAAATTACAAACTTGAAAAAAGCCACGTTCTCACAGCTTTCTAGGTCAGATCTCAGCGCCTTTGGCGTTTGTATTGAACATGCTCAAAGCAAACGCCGTGACTCGGGGATCATTGGTGACCATGGAGACCACAGCACGATATCTGGCGTTTTTACCACGCTTATGGCTATCTTGACGCGCTCTGAAACCATTTTCCGTCGCCGTAGCACCCCGGTCTAATTTCGGTATACCCTCCTGACTGATTGACGTTTTTCCCACTTACTGAAAATATTATTGCTACACAATCATTATGTCTGATCGGGTACATATTATTGTTTTATTAATTTTATGAAATAAGTCTACTGCGATGTAGTTTTGCTCTAAAAAATGAGAAAAACTGTCATAAACCATTTATTCACTTGTGAAGCCAAATTGCAGATCTTGAGATTGGTCTAAAAATAATTTGTTATTAAGATATTTATTCACTTGCGAAACCAATAATCAACACTCTATTATTTTTATTTTATTTTATTTATTTATTAATTCTTATTTATCTATTTTCTATTTATTTATTTAT